TAAAAACCTGCATGGCCCAAAAATGATCTAATTCCCTTGACATTCTTTGGAGGAGGAAGATTAGAAATTAAATCAACTTTTGCTTTATCTACCTCAATTCCATCTTTAGAGATAACATGACCAAGAACAATTCCTCTTTTAACCATAAAATGGCATTTTTCCCAATTTAAAACAAGACTTTTTTCTTTGCATCTTTCTAAAACAAAAGATAAATTTTCTAAACATCTATCAAAAGAAGAACCAAAGACAGAAAAATCATCCATAAATACCTCAAGGAATTCACCTATCATATCAGAAAAAATACTCACCATACATCTTTGAAAAGCACCAAGGGCATTGCATAACCCAAAAGGTAAACGGCGGTATGCAAACGTACCAAACGGGCATGTGAATGTAGTTTTTTCTTGATCCTCAGGGGCAATGGGAATTTGAAAATAGCCAGAATAACCATCAAGAAAACAATAATATTCGTGACCAGCTAATTTTTCTAACATTTGATCAATAAAAGGGAGAGGGAAGTGATCTTTCCTAGTTGCAGAATTTAACTTACGATAATCAATACACATTCTCCATCCTGTTTGAACTCTAGTTGGAACTAACTCGCCATTCTCATTTTTTACTACAGTTATTCCTGATTTCTTAGGTACAACTTGGACAGGACTTACCCAATTACTATCGGAAATAGGATAAACAATTCCGGCATCCAGTAATTTTATCACCTCACTCCTAACTACCTCTTGCATAGTAGGATTCAATCTTCTTTGTGGCTCACGTGTTGGCTTGGCATTATCCTCTAAATGAATTCTATGTAGGACGACCGAAGGACTAATACCCTTAATATCAGCAATGGACCAACCTATAGCTTCTATATGTTTCTTCAACACACTCACTAATCGTGATTCTTGAGATTTATTTAGATCAGAAGCTATCACAACAGGCAATGTATCATTATCTCCTAAGAAAACATACTTAAGAGTATCAGGCAATGGTTTCAATTCTAATTTAGGAGGTACCACAGAAGAAGGCAGTAAGGGAGAGGAAGACAATGGGAGTCTTAAAGGTTTAGGCTTCCACTTATCCTCATTCAAAATATGTGTAGAATCAAGCAAGTGATTTATCTCAGCAACTGAATCATCCATGTCAAAATCAATTCCAAAATTAACTAAACATGCTTCTAGTGGATCATCACTACTCGAGCGATGAAAAGTATCATTAATAAGACTGTCTAGCACATTTAATTCACATACATCATCATTATCATCATGCATTTGCTTGGTCACATGAAAAATATTCAATTCCACAGTCATATTACCAAAAGAAAGTTTCATAACACCATTCCTACAATTGACTAAGGCATTGGCTGTAGCAAGGAATGGACGGCCTAAGATAATTTGTGTTTGTGTGGAAGAATCCTGCACGGGCTCAGTTTCTAGAACAACAAAATCAACAGGAAAATAAAAATTCTCTACTTTTATCAAAACATCCTCAATTATTCCCCTAGGAAGTTTTACAGATCTATCTGCGAATTGAATTGTCATCCTAGTAGATTTAAGCTCCCCTACACCCAATTGCTAATAAACATGATAAGGCAATAAATTAACACTTGCACCCAAATCTATTAAAGCTCTATTAATGTGATGCTCACCTATTTTGCAAGAGATTGTAGGAGATCCAGGATCTTTTAATTTTATAGGATATTTATTTTGAATAACTGAGCTCAATTGTTCAGTCAGGAAGGCTTTCTTTGGAACATTTGTTTTCCTCTTTGTTGTTACTAAATCCTTCAAAAACTTTGCATAGGCAGGTACTTGTTTAATTGCATCTAAGAATGGAATATTTATTTGCACTTGTTTAAACATTTCTAAGATATCTCCTGTTTTACTGTTATCTTTTGGAGCTAGGAACCTATGAGGATATGGAGCTTTAGGAATAAATTTACTATTCTCAATTTCAGTACTCTTAAGATTTGATTTTTTAGGTTCTTCAGACTTTTTATGTTCATCATCTATGGAGTTCTTAGTTCTTTTATTCTCTTCATTGTCACTTTCAGGTTCCTTCACATTGTTATTAACTTGCTTACCGGACCTAAGAGAGATGACAGATTCCACATTTTCTTGCTTAGAGCTAGAACTAGGCTCCTCATTAATAACATACTGACCCTTAGAATTAGGAATGGGTTGACTAGGAAATTTACCTTTTTCTCTTTCTCCTATATGAGTAGCTAACTGACCCATTTGAGTTTCTAACTTAGATATGGCAGTAGTATTTAGGTGGGTGGCATTTTTAATTTCTTGAAGTGCCTGACTCGTAGATTGCATAACTTGAGTCGTGGATTGCATGAACATCTTAACAGTATCCTCTAAAGTTGAGGATTGTGGCTTAGGTAGACCCACTATTTGTGGTGGAACTAGAGGATATGTCTGATTAAAATTGGTGGGTCTAAATTGATTAGAATTTGGCATAGGTGAAAATGCATTATTGGTAGGTGATTGATTTCTCCATGAAAAATTAGGATGATTACGCCAATTAGGATTATAAGTATCTCCAAATTGATTAGAGACAGGCTTACCAAAAGCATTCAACACATTAGCATGCTCAAAAGAATTTTCAGAGTAAGAGGTCATATGAGGACACATAGAAGCATCATGCATTGTACTCGAACAAACAGCACAAATATCAGATATAATATTTTTAGAAGTGCC